CCACTTTACCCCCTCGTACTCTGCCTGAGAGTCACTTTACCCCCCTCGTACTCTCAATTTTATCGGTTTACCCCCTTGTACTTGTACAATTTCCCAATACAGCACTTTCCTTCAAATTTTGTCAATTTTGACTCTAACGCCATTTGGTCAACTCTGTAAATTACAAAATTGCCACTGCCTATAACGCGTCGTTTCTCCTCCATCAATATTGTCATTTCTTCTTCTCCCACCACTTCCCCTTCCAAGATATCCCCAAATTGAACCCCTAACTTAGTAAAAATCAAGACCCACAAATTGATCGATTCCACCCAGTGCAAAGAAAAAAATATATGAATGTGTGAAACTTTCTCTTTTCTAATCTCGAGCGTCAAAATCGAAAAAATTCAATATTTACGTCAATATTTTGACTCTTGACCAAATGGCGTCAGAGTCAAAATCGAAAAAAGTTGACGAAGAGGGTTGTATTGGGAAATTGTACAAGTACAAGTGGGTAAATCGACGAAATTAAGAGTGCGAGGGGGTAAAGTGGTTCTTGGGTAGAGTACAAGGGGTAAAGTGGAATTTACCCTAAATTTTTACACAAAGGATCATTGATTACCAAGACTTAATCGTGTTTTGGCCATCGTATGAACTCCAAACAAAAAACCCTAAACACCAGCCGTTGATTCCGAACAACAAACAATTTGTAAACAACAAACATAACGAAGTCAAATTGGGCAACAACAAATCGAACGAAGGCAAACGGAATAAAGGCAAAATGCTCAGACCTGGTAATTTGTAAACAACAAACGAAACAAATGCAAATAGTGAATAGCAAATTTGTAAACAACAAACGAAACAAATGCAAATAGTGAACAGCAAATCGAACGAAGACAAAATGCAAACGACCTGGTAAAACTACAAACGATCAAACACTCAAACCTATGGAGGGGTTCAAAATTCGTGGTGAGATTTTCCCTTTGAGAAACATGGAAGAAATCGATTTCCAGATTTTTGCAATTATAATTTTCGGAACAACAAACCCTAAACACCAGCTGTTGTTTCCGAACAACAAGCAATTTGTAAACAGCAAACGAAATAAGTGCAAATAGTGAACAACAAATCGAACGAAGACAAAATGCAAACGACCTGGTAAAACTGCAAACGATCAAACACTCAAACGTATGAAAGGATTCAAAATTCGTGGTGAGATTTTCGTTTTGAAAAAACATGGAAGAAATCGATTTCCAGATTTTTGCAATTATAATTTTCGGATTTGTAGTATAATAGGAAGAAAAATAGGGGATTTGATTTTGAAGATATATTTTACCGTATATTAATAGGGACATTGATAGGGGTACTTTTGACAAATTATAAATACAAAAATTTGCTGGAAATTAGAGTTTATTAGATGGATTTTAACACATATAATCTCTTATAGGAGGTCGGTCCTATAGCAAATTGCCCCAAAAGTTTATGTCCGTTGGTTACAAATTAATGTAATAAATTGTAACTGCCATCTCATTATTTCTATGTTTTTATAATATATATTAATGAATTGTTAGTTGGATATTTCTTACAAAACTAATAATAGCAACTTCGTAGTTACAAATGCATGCACTATATATTATATTATTTGATAAAATTAAGCAAATGCAAGGGAAAGATAAATCTGAAGAAATATGAGAAACTGATGCATTTAGTCTATTAGTCAATCAAATAATTAATGAAAGAAGCATGATAAAAAGTAAAACCCATCGATTCATTTACTCTATAAATTACTTGGTATATATTATTCAGAGTTAATTGCATAGACCCCCCTGTGTTATTTCTTGGAAGCAAAAAACCCCCCTGGAAAAAAAAATTAGCATATAACCCCCTTTGTTGTGTTTTAGTCAGCCCACCGCCCCTTTGTGTGCACTGGCTCGTTGACTTACATGAAATGACAGAATTGTTCTTAATAAAAAATAAAGCAAAAATTATTTCTTTGATGAGTGGTCAAATTATAAATGACTATAATTTATAGGACCAAATTGTAAATTTTAAAATTTCCAAAATTGCAATAAGGGACAAAAATTGAAGATTTTTTCAGATCTTCTTCGTTTCACTCCGCCGCCCACCTCCCAGCCCGGAAAAACTTCGGCATCACCGCCGCCTTCTCGCCCGTCTAGCACCACCGCCGCCTCCTGGACCGTCGAGCACCACCGTCGCTCTCTGGCCTGACAAATCTCAAACCCAATCGAGATCCAATTCATCTCTGTCAAAAGCTCCACCCAATTCAAAATAAAACGGGATTTTTCGCAACCTCTAAGGTGGAGTTTGCTCCCGAAGAAAATCGCCGGCACACAAGGCCACTGGAGCCCATCCTCGATTTCCTTACCCTCTGAATCGTGTTCAATTTCGATTTTCTCACCTAATTCAGGGCTGAAATTCTGAGTTGTTGGGGGGAGGAACTGAAGACGCCGCCGTCGTCGTCTCCGTCGAGTACGTACCGACTCGCGCCGGAGAACAAACTCCCCGCCGCCGGAGACATGTTGTAGAAGGAAAGGGGTGGGTCCGGCGGGAAGAGGTGATGGCCGGAGGTGGTGGTGGCGATTTCAATGGGGAATAAGAAGAAATTTGGGGAAGACATGCTCTTCTCTCATTTTGGAGGCGGCGGCATAACGAGGTGATTGCCGGTGGTGGTGGTGGTGGTGGTGGGAATTTGGTGGTGGTGATTTCAATGGCAGAGAGTGGGAATTTGGATTTTGGGGAAGACGATATTTTTTCCAAAATAGGGATTTCAGCCCACAATTTGATAATTACAATTTAGTCCTATAACTTTAGATTATTTATAATTGAATCAATCTGGGTTTTTTTCCTCTACCAAAGGGTTTTTATGTCTTTTCCTGTCCTAAAATGTCCTAAAACGCACGCCCAGCTGCATGAACCGCGAGTGTATCCCACGATTCGCTCGTAGGGTCCTTATTGTCATTGACTTCCTTTCATAGGGGGGTATTTGCTAATTTTTTTATCCGAGGGGTTTTTTTGCCAATTAGACATTTCACAGGGGAGCCGAGTGCAAATACCCCATATTATTCAATAGGAAATGCATGAACATTGAAACTATATCATCGCAAAGAACCTTTTCATCTACACCCATATATACGATTTCTTTGGAGAACCGAAGATGAAATGGAACATGAAATGTATCCAAAAAAGCCTAAGACTGATGTTGAAAATTATTGGCTCTAATTCATATCAAATGGTGCATGGGCTTCTATTGTATGGTACAACCTTCTATTCCTAATAGCATTTTTTATCTTAATTAATCATATATATTATCCCTTTTGTGTTTGATGACTATATCTTCATTGAAAAATATGTATATATTCATCTGTAGAATAGCATAGCTATTAATGGTGGTAAACAAATATAGCTAGACGATAGCTAGGGAAAACAATTTGTTTTGTCTGATAATGTCGTGAAAAAACATATCAAAGAGACGAGTTTCAAACCACTATTGATAAATCAATTTTCATCTTATCAGGCCATGGCATATTATATATATATATATATATATATATATATATAATGGAGAAGATAACTTTCAAAAGAGATGATTTCCCTCAAAGCTGATTATGTAAGTAATTAGTCTGGCATCATCAAAATTCATGGAGCAAATATTGTATGTACTTACCGAATCATGGTTCGCCGAAAAGCCGGCTGTCGCGAACACTGCCGTTCCCGTTCCATTGCAACGTTGCGGTTCCATTGCGGCTCCATCGCGGCCGAAACAGACTTTTTTTAATTAAAATGCTAAAATATAATTTATTTCAAATATATTTTTAATACCAACATTACAATACAATAATATGCTAAAACTATTAAAAATTAAAAAATAAAATATTACAACAACCTTGATTAACATTATAAAATTATATGCAATATCAATATCACGTAGAATGCCGAGCTGGTAGTTCAAAGTTTTCAAGATTTTCTGTTTGAGAATTAGTCGGTAAATGTGACCCTATTACACGCGTGATGTAAAATTACTCATACGTTTTAATTCATAGATGGTCTTATAGAGACGAGTTGATAAATACATGACAACTTTTAATAAATGGAATAACATTTTATTTAAAAAAAAAAAATAATGGAAGAACCTAAGTCTCACCCATCGTATTCTTTCAAATTCTTTTCCTATAAGCTTTTAACAATTATTTTGTGAGAAATTAACATTATTAATCATCAAGAACCTGCGTTTTTTACTTTGAAGAATATTACGGATGAAAGTGAAAACTTTCTCCACTTTGTTTACTCCATAAAATATCTCTAAAGTTTAAACAAAAATTCCACAATTTCATTCTTACATTTAAGCTTATTAGGTGTAGTGTTGTTGACCTCATACATAAGAGTAAACAAAAATGGAACTTTTTTATGTTTTTTTTTTGTTTTTTGGGTTCCATTTTCTTCCTCCGTATTGCACTTTAACAAAAGTTAATTGTACAAACTTTATTCCTTATATAGTTGTGCATGTAGCCTGTTGGATCCCTCAATCTCCACAGTTCTCCTTGAACGTACGCTACTGTTTTACCGTAAAATGTGTAGGATCCAAATCACAACATCATATGTGATCCTTGAGTATCATTTCCTTATTCATCTGTTTTTCACTGTCGAAACTAACACTTGCAAAGTGAGAAGCTCTCTCTCTCATCACTTATTCGACTAAAAAACCACATGTACTGTAAGAAAAAGTACCATTGTTACAGCTAAAGAAGGCATTTTTCTTCTTATTAGTTAAATCAGTAATTTCAGCTCGAAAACTTGACAAAAGTTACGTTCTTGAAAATGGTTAAAATTGCATACTTGGTTTTCAGAGCATCATTGGATTCAATTTATGTTCTTACCTTGGAATCAAGAAAGAGAACAAATAAAGTAGTCATTGAAATCCAAATAACTCGATCACGATATACTATGAAACTAATTTGAACACAATCAAATCAAACCATTTAGTCATATAGTCCAACCAATTCAGAGGATGGCTCAGTAAAAGTTGATTGTCCATTAGCATATCAGTTAGGAATTCTATTAAATAGCTAGACTGCAAGCCAGATAAGGTACCCATAACAATTGAGCAGTGTATGTATGTGTTCCACATATGTAATTGTTAGTGAGTGAGTAAGCCATTATTTTCCATGTTAATCTTCGATGCCAGGGAATATCCCTTCAGGAAGTCGAATCTCCATTCGTCAATCCAATATTATTGTTGAGCAGTCCAAATATAACTCATTGGAGAGATGAAAGAGGAATTTACCTTTCGATGAATAAATGTCTGTGACGGTGATGGTGGTTGCGGCGGTGACGATGCCGGTGGCCATGGCGCGCGGTGCCTGTTTTAGATTACATAGAAACTTCAATTATTAATGAAAGGTCATTAACAAAAATAATGAAGGATGCCCCTAAAATACAAAGAACCACCAATATACATCCACAAAACAAGTAATTATATATATATATATATATATATTTTTTATCATTGTTATGTAAATTGTAGGAGTGGCAGAACCTGTTTTTGGCTAATTAGAAAACTCAGGTTCCCACTTTTGCCATGAAATAACTCTTCATTTCTACCATGTATATACATTTTGGATTATTGGTCTTCGCATGAATTTTGGGCTCTCGGAGAGGTTTTGAAGGGTGCTTTGGACGTCTACATAATGATAAGAGGTTTGCTGAGTTTGTGTAACGATTCTAAGCTACTTGGCGGTAGTGAGAGTTGCCGAAGTTGCAATTTTGGACCATATTTCATCATATATAAATATAATTTGATGGAATATGAACCACAAATTAGCAATCTCACTTCATGGATTGAGGGACTGTACAAGAAAGTCCATAATTATATATCTAACAAAAATAAGACAAGAAGATCACGTATGACATATGAAGAGTCAAGAGACAAATGCTATATGGGGCCTTTAGCAATAAACTCCTTGGATGAGTAATAAATGATGATATGTCCAACCCTTAAATCTTTCTTTGTGATAAACCCCTATAAATATTAATTCCAATACTACCCTTTTGAAATTAGAAAATATCCTACCCAATAATCCACCCAAATAATCTACACTGCTTTCCTTAAATAATGCCAAAATAATGGCAATTTTTTTTCAACTCAATATTTCACTTCCTTAAAATCAGCCAACTAATTAAAAAAATAAAAAACCAGCTTAATATGCTCCATAAAATCAGCAAACAAATAAAAAAGAAAATGCTTTGTCACATACAAAATCAAAACCCACTTGCAAATGTAAAGTTTTTTTTTTTTTAATATTTTTAATTTTTTTAATTATTTTTTATTTTTCATATTTTTTCATATTTTCTTAAATTCTTTTAAACGAAAAATTATTATTTTTCCCGACAAGTTTACTACGCCGAATATGACTATAGTTGAATATGACTATAGTCATATTTTCTTAAATTTTTTTAAACGAAAAATTGATTTCTTTTCCCCGACAAGTGTACTACGCCGAATATGACTATAGTAATATTTTCTTAAATTTTTTTAAACGAAAAATTGATTTTTTTTTTCCCTGACAACTGTACTACGCCGAATATGACTATAGTTCAATAAGACTATTCTAATATGACTATATGTGACTATATCAGCTGTAGTCATATTCTTTCTTTATATTGCACTTTTTTAAATTTTTAACTTCAAAATTCCGATTATATAGTGTGGTAAAGTCATGTTTACCAAATTATTTAAAACAACTAAGATTCTCTATTGTTTAGGGAAACAATGCAATCAACATCCACACAAAAAAATCACAAAAAACACAATTTGAATCTTGTTATTACAAGTCAACTTGAAACGAAAATTTTGAACATATTCGAATATGACTACAATCATATTCAACAATAGTCATATTTATGCATTTAGTTAGATGAATTGAAGCGTACTCCCCCTCATCTCTTTCGTAATAAACCCCTTGGATGAGTAATAAATGGTGATATGTCCAAACCTTAAATCTTTCTTTGTGATAAACCCCTATAAATATTAATTCCAATACTACCCTTCTGAAATTAGAAAATCTCATACCCAATAATCCACCCAAATATTCTACACTGCTTTCCTTAAATAATGCCAAAATAATAGCAATTTTTTTCCAACTCAATATTACACTTCCTTAAAATCAGCCAACTAATTAAAAAAAATAAAAAATCAGCTTAATATGCTCCATAAAATCAGCCAACAAATAAAAAAAAATGCTTTGTCACATACAAAATCAAAACCCACTTGCAAATGTAAAGTTTTTTTTTTAATATTTTTAATTTTTTTAATTATTTTTTATTTTTCATATTTTTTAATATTTTCTTAAATTCTTTTAAACGAAAAATAATTATTTTTCCCGACAAGTTTACTACGCCGAATATCACTATAGTTGAATATGACTATAGTCATATTTTCTTAAATTTTTTTAAACGAAAAATTGATTTCTTTTCCCCGACAAGTGTACTACGCCGAATATGACTATAGTAATATTTTCTTAAATTTTTTTAAACGAAAAATTGATTTTTTTTTCCCTTGACAAGTGTACTACGCCGAATATGACTATAGTTCAATAAGACTATTCTAATATGACTATATGTGACTATATCAACTGTAGTCATATTCTTTCTTTATATTGCACTTTTTTAAATTTTTAACTTCAATATTCCGATTATATAGTGTGGTAAAGTCATGTTTACCAAATTATTTAAAACAACTAAGATTCGCTATTGTTTAGGGAAACAATGCAATCAACATCCACACAAAAAAATCACAAAAAAACACAATTTGAATCTTGTTATTACAAGTCAACTTGAAACGAGAATTTTGAACATATTCGAATATGACTACAATCATATTCAACAATAGTCATATTCGAAAAAATATATAAATATGAGAATATGACTATAGTCATGTTGCTGCTACTGTACATTTGAACTGTATTTTCAGATCTGGAAAAAAAATTGAGAGAGAGAGAGAGAGAGAGAAATCGAAAGTACATAAATAAAGGTAGAAAATTTACGAAAGAGATGAGGTGGGGTACGCTTCAATTCATCTAACTAAATGCATAAATATGACTATAGTCATATTCGAATATGACTATAGTCATGTTGCTGCAACTGTACAGATTTGAAACTCTATTTTCAGATCTGGAGAAGAGAGAGAGAGAGAGAGAGAGAGAGAGAGAGAGAGAGAGAGAGAGAGATTGAAAAATACATAAATAAAGGTAGAAAATTAACGAAAGAGAGGGAGGGGGAGTCAACGGCGATGGCGGCGGTGGTGAACGAAAGATAGAGTGAGAGAGGCGGACGGTGGTGGTGGTGGTGGTGGGCAGATCTGAAAAAAAAACTGAGAAGTTGAGTATTAATGAAAAAGAGATAAGAAGTCTTACGTGAAAACGAAGGAGGCGGCGGCGGCACAAGCGACGGCGGTGGTGGTATGCAAATCTAGACGATGGTGGTGTAAGGAGAGAAATCGAGAGAGAACGAGATTATTTATGTGGAGACAAAGGAGGAAGGGGCGGCGACGGCGACGGGGGTGACGGCGGCGGCGGCGGTGGTGGCGGTGGTGGTGGCGGCGGTGGATGAAGCTTGAAATTTTAGGAGTGTTTTGGGGGATTTAGGTGGAGAGGTGGAGAAGAAAGAAGATGAAAGTGGTGGGTGGGCAAATAATTAGGGTTATAGTAATTGAGGGTATTTTTGTCTTCTCACATTAGTCTAAGGGGTCTCACTAATTAAGAATGGAATTTGGATGTAGGCAAAAGTTTTTACAAGTCAATTTAGTTTAGTTCAAAATATTTTCCATTTGAGGAGTCTATTGCATATTTCCCCATGCTATATTAACTGAACATTTAAATGCCTCATTAAGTGCCAAATAAAAGCTAACATAAATATGCAATTCCTTAAAAAATGAAAATTACTTGACCACGAAGAGTTATAAAAATTGCCTCGATTATACTAAACTGCATTGACTTTTTTCTATTTATCAATTCTAAATACACCATGAAGAGTTATAAAAATTGTCTCGATTATACTAAATTGCATTAACTTTTTTTTATTTATCAATTCTAAATACAATGAATCCCAAATACATTGATTAATGATTATTTATTAAAATTACTTAGTTGTCCTTGAAAATTTATATCTAAAGTACATATTGTGAGGGCAAATTTGTACGTACAGAAAATGGAAGAAATCACCCATCTATTCATACTTTTATAAGTAGTATAGAATAGATATAGATATAGATATAGATATAGATATAGAATATTGTTATATACTTTATATAATTAAGAACTTAAACTTTTCCCACAGTTATATTACTTCATAAACCACCCCCCTCCCCCATCATGAGAAATGTTGTTATAATGCCATTTTGGCTTCAATCGTGATTTGACAAAAAAAAAATTCTAAATTTGACGAAAGCTCTAATCCAAATTGAATCACCAGGATTGGATATCCGGTGAGAAAGATATGCATTAATCAATGAACATTGTCTACAACTTTAATAATTTGAATTATCGACAATTCAAAATGTAACTGAACATGCATAAATTTATGAGTTGACATTCACTCCAAGTGATTCAAGTTGGATTCGAAAATTAACTCAAAGGGTTACAATTTTCGTGGTTTGAATTTTGCCAAAATAAGAATAAAAAATTGTCAAAATCAAGTTCGAAGTCAAAACAATATTAATAAAATTAAAATAACAATTAAAATTTCAGTACTCTTTTAAGAAAAGTAACACACATTTGTGTTGGATGCCGAATAGATAAATACATTATATCAATAAAACTATAAATTTAATTTTTTTTTTATACAAAAGCTCTTTTATAAACTTCTGTGTGTGTAAATATATAAAAATATAGGATAAGTTACTAATGTAATTTATGTTTACATGGAAACAAATAATGAAAATACTATAGAGCACTAGATCCACAAATATCTATTGAATTTTATTTTTCCACTAAAGAATTGATGGTAAAAGTGGTAGATGATCGGAAAAGGAGAATTACTAAGAAAATATCAATGAATATCATTCAAAAATTTACGATAATGAGGAAACACTGAAGCAATTAAAATGAATAAGAGGGAAAAAGGTAGTTCAATCATAAATAAATATATACAAAATAATATAAAACTAAACATTTTTTTTAAATCAAACTAAACATTTCAATATTTAGTAAAATTAGAATTGAAAGAAATTATCAATGTCACAATTATTTACATAAACTACGTTTATACTATTATTTTGATAAAACATAACAAGTGATTTTTTTTTTAATAAATATACAAAAAAACTAATAAGACACGTGCAACGCACGTGCACATGCCTAGTGTTTTAAAAATTATAGAGAGGTTCTTTTGCTTTCGCTATTTAAATAAGTATTTCGATAAACCGGTTCGATTTATCGCCCAATTAGAAGGGGTGCTACAAATATACTTAGTTTTCATTTAAATATTATTTAAATAGATTAAATTAAATTAAATTTAAAAATGAGGCCCCAATTTAATGTTTGGCATTTTTAGTGAATCTTTTTGTGAAGCCCCAAATGAGAGTTTGGGGTCTTCAATTTAGGGTATTCGGCTGGACTTGATCTAAGTAAGTTGTACCTTAGCTCCAAAGAAAAGTTTTTCATATCCGATATCTATACGTATATCTATCTACATATACAAAGTATATTTGTCTAGATAATTTTGATCGTATCTTCTACATACAAAAAGTTGATGATACTAAAACAAACAGCATATCACTTTCTCCTGCCATTCTCCAAAATGTCCAAGTCCGACGTTCCATCCGTTGCAGTGGGTCCGAGTTGTTCATTCCGTAAGTGAGCGGTTTCCATTTCTGTATGAAAACCGTTTTCTTCAACTATTCTGTTAAATGCATGAGTTGCCCAACCTATGTATTCAGACCAATCAATTGGTCAACAAATTACCTAATTTATATATATATATATACACGGTTCATGCGTCACAATTTTGTTCTATATTATCTATTAATTTAAAATTTTAAACGACACATATTTGAAAATCGAAAGAGTAACTTTCAACGGTTACATTTATTAGTCGGTAAGTCCTATGTGGATACAAGACTGCAGAAATATATTTGATGGAAACATATTTCCGGGTATATCTAAAGTGTAAAGTAACACTAAACATCAGCAAATTTGCACATAAGTTGCAATTCAATAAAAATAACGTCTATATCTGGAGCCAACGAACGGTCTTTCTCTCTGATTCATTTTCTCCATGTATGTAAATACGAATGCGACTACTTTCTCCTTATACTATATCCGTTATATTAAGTTAACTAAAGCAAGTTCAGAAGCTATTGACTAGAGCTAAAAAGATGAATATACTCACCGTTAATGTAATGTGGCAATGGGAAGAATTGGAGGTAGCAAACCGAAGAAACCACGCAGCCTACATACATTTGAACAAGTTAGAAAGCATATATAGATCAAATTAAATAGTTTGTTTACGGTTAAATTCCTAGACATAAATGTTTATATTAAAGTTTAAATGGTTACCTAAGATGGATCCAGCAAACACATCAGTCCAATGATGCCAATAATCGTCCACACGAGAAATTGCTACTAAAGCAGCAAACAGATACGGTAGCACAACAATGCAAAGTTTTGCCGCGTGCCCTCTTTTATCAAACACTTTAATCTTCCCACACAAGTACCACGCAAGAAAACCCAACCCTGCAAACGACCCTGCATATACATCGAAAAAGTTCTTCACAACAAATTATTTTCTATAAAACCCTGTCTGCAAAAACTGATCTTTGTTTACCAACAAAACATTTTCAAAACCTCTTCCAAAATCCAAAAAATCAATTTATGTGTCAAGAACTAATGTAAAAAAGATGCATTGGTTAATAAAGCCCATATGTATGCTTCTTGATACCTACATGCAGAGTGACCACTAGGAAAGCTTTTATATCCTTCTTTAATAATCTTTGCATCTCCAGTACACAAGACATCCCCATTCATAGGATCGAAAACCTGATAAAAATGCACGAACAATTATAATACTATGTACGAAAATATGATCATACATCAATTTATTCAAAATGAAGGGTAATAATGGTAATGTTGTTTTATGTGCGAAGTTGTACCGCGACACCATCAGGGAAGCATCTGTAGTAGAAGTTTGGTCTGGGTCGTCCAACAGCGTCTTTTATCGAATCAGTAATGACAGCTGTTACCAGAACAGAGTACGCCAGACCTACAAAAATATATTTTGCAATACAATGATGATGAATAATATTCGAATAAAAATAAACAGTAATTATATATTATATATGTCATCTGACTATAGTGTAGGTTGAAGGAAGGTTATACGTACCGAGTATAGCATGGTGTAAGTCATAAACATCCCTTTTGTAGAGGTAATATATCATAAATATGATACAGGGGAGGATCACTGCATATATCTATATTCCACAAAACCAGTTTAACCAATAAACAAGCACATTTACTCTAATTAATCTAATGAACTACTATATATACGCATGAGCGTGTTTTGCGTTAGAATTACCGGGACAGCCCACATAGGAACGGTGTCTTGCATTTTGAAGGGGTATTTGAGATCGGTCATCAAATCAGAGCTGACGTAACGGTGAAAGGGTTCAATGAGATTGAGGCAGCCATCAATTACAGCAAGAAGTAGCAGAATCAGCCAATCGTGCATATGCACTCTCGCAAGCTTTGCTCCATGTGATTGCAAAGTGTGCCCCACAAACTGATTCGGTCTCATTTTTTCTGTTATATATATTATCCAATTATCTACCACATGCATACAATTCTTTCATTTGTAACAACCAATTCATGTAATATATACAACATAACATACTAGCTAGCTATGGAAAATATTCAAAACAATGCACCCCCATATATATATATATATATATATATATATATATATATATATATATATATATATATATATATATATATATCCAATCACCGGATCAAAATGACCAGAAACAATAAAAAAAGAATTATCTAAAATAAAGCCTATTGAAAAAGGCAAATGCAAAATTTGAAACACATGCATTACATTTCTGATGAAATGGAGAAAAAAAGGTGATTAAGGATAAAATGGTGTACCGAATGACGAGAAATTCGGAGATAATGAATGAGAGCACAGCACGAGGATGGTCCAAGGATGTGCCCTCTATAAATGCATGCAATAGCCTGCTGCTGCATGCAAAATACATTTATATTTAATTAAATGGATGTTTTTGTATATTTGAAAATTCTGGCAAAAGTAAGACATATTAAAAATACATAAGAAGAAGAAGATAAAGAGATGTAAACGAAGCGACGACCTTGTGAAAATATTGTGCCAATCTGTGTGAATAAGGCGGATGTGTATTGAAATAATACATTAATCTTTGATCAGATAGTAGTTATACTGCTGCTGCTGAAATTATTGGATGAAATTTTGTGTAATCTTCTATTCATCAAAATTCATTGTCTAAATTTGGAATGGATCCTAAATATTTGGATGAAGGTGGGGGTGGACTTGGGGCACCCCTGAATTATATGTTGTACATATTATACCATTCTTTAAGTTAAATATCTCGCTCTTTATTTTCAATAATAATATTCATCAACTGCCATTATTTTATATACTCATTTAATTATTCTTACTTTCAATTTCTATTTCTTTTTATTTTCATTCGGTTATATAGAGAAAAAAAATATTTTTCTCTTAAAAGTAAAATATATCAAGAAACCACAATAAAAGTGTATTTATTTTCTTTATGTGAAACTTGAACATATAATATAATTTTGTATTTTCATCTGATTAATTTCAAGTGTGGGCATTTTATATTTTTATAATATAATTTATTAAATATTTCAGAAGTGGTTTTAATTATTAGATTTATTTAATCAAAATAATACACCGCGACAAATTTATATCCTTAAAAAATAAATTTTAAGGTGTATGGTAAAATTTAAATGATAAATATGTAAGTATTTTCGAATAAAGTAATTGAAAAAATATTGAGTAAAAAATTATTTGCACTCAATTTCTTATGATACTTTATATTTTATATATCGTTAGAATAAATATGTTAGATAAAAAAATATGATTAAAGAGTGGGCATAATATAACACGTATATTTAAGCTAGTGCGTCTATAAGCCCTGAGCGTGCTAATAAAGATTAATAGGGATAATTACATTTTTGGTCCCTCATGTTTGGCCCGATTTCACTTTTGGTCCCCCTTGTTCCAAAGTGAACAAAGTTCACCTCCAAGTTTCAATTTTAAACACTTTTGGTCCCTGCCGTTAAATTCCCGTTAGCAAGTAACGAAAACCACTATTTTGGGGTGAAAATTGAAATTTTAATTTTTTGGGGGGCTGAAAAATAATTACAAATTAAAAATAGACTACTTATAAATTTTAATAATAATAAAAAAAAAAAAAATTAAATTTTTTATTATACTTAATATTATTATAATTATACTACTTAGAATTAAATTTTTAATAATAAAAAAAATTACTAAACAAATTATTTTCAATCATACTTAAGATTACTCGGGGATAGCTCTCGTCTGCAATCCATTTGTCTCCCCAAATCGAAGTTGTTTCGCTGTTGCCAATCTGCATTCCGATACCAGCCTGTAGGAATTGAAGGGCCTCCAAAATACCCCTCCACGTGGTTGAAGGTCGAGGACCGGTATCCGCGGTGAGAAATTCGCCATGAGGATAATACCTCGCTTTAAGAATTTTCGTCAAGAGCAAGCCTGGTTCCGTCATAAGTCTTCACCCCTGTTTCGCCAAATGTGCAAGATTAAAGTAGTTCATATCTCGAAAGCCAAGGCCACCCTTTGTTTTAGGTAGGCACATTTTCCTCCACGGCAACCATGCTACCCCCTTGTTCCCCCAGTGCCCCACCAATATCTCCGAATAATCGATTCAATGTCCTTGAGTATCCCTTTTGGTAAGCAAAACCAACTCATGATGTAAGTCGGGACTGATTGAAGCACCAACTTAATCAATACCTCTCTTCCAGCTCTAGAGAGTTGTTTTTCCCCCCATCCTTTGACCTTCGCCCAAACCCGATCTCTAAGGTAACTGAAAATTTCTTTTTTAGTACGTCCCATCAAGCAAGGCATTCCAAGATACTTGTCGTGTTTGTCAACTACCTTGAACCCAAGAATTTGGTGAATGGAGTGTCGAATAACTGGTGAAGTAGATGAGCTAAACGTCATGGTGGACTTATCAAGATTAATCTCCTGTCCATTGCTGGTTAATAATTTCCTCACAATCATCTCCCCTTATCCACATGGCCTCGAATCTAAATGGTCTCCGGCCTCTACGAAGGTGTGGTGAGCGTGGTGATTCAAGTGTGAGCATAAGGGGGGTATGGTCCGAGCCCGGGAGACCCAAGTGGGTAACTTGAGCGTGAGGGAAGCGCGTCATCCACGCATTATCCGCACAAACCCTGTCCAAACGGCTCCGCACTGTATGGGAATGAAGCCTATTGTTCGACCAAGTAAACGGTGTGCCGCGGTAGCCAATGTCCGACAGGCTACAACAATCAAGGGCAGCTCGGAAAGCTTCGATTTCGCCTGGAAATTTTGGGATTCCCTCCATCTTTTCCGAGTTACAAAGAATTTTATTGTAGTCGCCACCAACCATCCAAGGCAAGTCGTTATGAGTCCGGAGTTGGCAAAGGAGATCCCAGGATAAATGACGGTGTGATTTATCAGGATATCCATAAAACCCCGTAAACCTCCACTTGTTGCTGCCATCTGTGGGACAAACCTCCACGTCAATGTGATTGCTAGAAAAGATGGAAAGGGTAACCGTAAGATCCTTATGCCACAACAGTGCGAGGCCACCAGATTTGCCGACCTTATCGACGGCCAGTCCAAATAAATTCCATTTCTTCTTCAGATGCTCAATCTTCTGTGGTGTAGATCTCGTCTCCGAGCGAAACACCAAGCTGGGGTTATATTTTCAGAGAATGTCTCCGAGTGTATGAATTGTCAAGGGCACCCCGAGCACTAGACAATTCTAGATCAGGCAATTCATTGTTCTCGACGGGACTGCACCGCAGTCTCCGGCGTTGAGCTGGTATCTTCGTCGATTAACTTCAAGTTCTGCTTCTTCCTTGTTCTGTCATACTCCTTTTCCGAAGAAGCTACCCTCTTGCTCCTCCGAATCTTGCTCGGGTTCACAATTTTTCTCCCTAGAGGATCAGATCCACCATCGGAATAAAGTTGGACCACGTTGTTGATTAGGTTCATTTTCTCCAGGCCTGCACGGATAGTTCTCCTTATCTTTGTAGTGTTGCGAATGTAAGTCGTTTTTGGATTGCGTCGTGAAAGCAAAGATATTTGCCACTCTTGGTGTGCAACGTGGCTGGGCCCTGTTGGGATCTTGAATGTTAGGTTGGACAACTTGTAACGGGATTTTAAGACTCATGTCCTCTTTTGAGTTCGAGAATCGAAGCCAATTTCCATATGGAAGCTCATCGACAGAGTCAATAAATCCCTTTCATATCTTAGCGGAAATTTGTTCCCAAGAAGCCCACATAGGAAGCAAAGATTCGGTAGTCGCTCATAAGTAAAGCTCACCCAGGTTTTGGTGCCGTCCGAGTTATGTAGGTAAAGCCCACGTTTAATGCTCCGAGAAACATCAATTGCAACCTTAACCCTAACGAATTGTGCAAATCGAAGTTGGTTTTGATTCAGAACTTGGAGAAGCAGGCCGATCTTGCTGCCAATCTGAGACGCAACCTCGACCAACCCCTGGTTCATTGGGAGTTGGTGAAGACGAACTACAATTGGCATCTGGTTAACCTCCATCGTCGCCGGATCAAACTCAGGTTCGATTTCTAAAAAGATGAGAGCATTCTTTTCCAAAAGCCTAAGGACAACCCCCTATTGCATGTTTTTTGTCCAGGTGATGGTAGAACTCAATAAGGATCTTGTTATCGCCCAAAGATTGTATCTCACATCCCTTAACAGGTTGGAGTAACCGGGTCACATTAGCTGGAATGGTATGTATAGACAACTCCTTAGAAGAGACTACCCTCCCAACTAAACTGAGACCACTATTGACATTGTTGTCCGTTGCATGTGTGCGATCCACAGTGACCCCCTCTTCCTCATCTGGGGTTAAACGAAATTTGTTTGCAAGGGTATCGGTGATGGTCTCCATGAACGAACGAGAAAGGGAGAGAGATGAGATGAGAGTCACACGGTGAGGATCCCTAGCAACGCCTGTGTGATGCGGATCTGGAGGAGGAAGGAAAAAAGTAAAACAAAAAAATAGGGTTATGAACAAAAAGAGGAGAGATAAACTACAATATAACTAAACCCTAACAAACCAAAGCAATTATTGACTAAAAAAAAAGTATTGCTCACGATCGGATCGTTTGAATCGGTGAATAAATATTTAGTGGAATTGAGGATCTGCAAAGATCAAAGCATGATAAAGAAACAAGCCTCTCATAGAGAGAGAAAATGTGTAATTTCCAATAATGTTTTTTTTCTTATGGTTTGATAATTCTCAATTTGGAATTTTACATTCGAGTAAAAAACTTTTTTATATGCCCCAAAACGCTATAGAAAGACCGAAAGGAGTATTTGATGTCCCATTTTTAGGGCAAAATATTGGAGATGCCCCTAAGTGGCCAATATCTATCTAGTTTGTGGCGCCCTCCCCACCCAAAGTGAAGCAACCCTTGTCCAAATATTAGCGGTGCCGCCCGCTCAACACACTACTTATGTCACGAGCTCCGCCAAGACCCCCTAATTTTCACTACTAGCGCGGCCATCGCCATGGACTAAAAATAAAATTGATTGAATATTTTTATGCAAAGTAAAATTTGTATGAAAGGGCTTTAGCAAATTTTTGCATTTATATAAGTGTGCGCGCCTAGAATTAAAATTTGTACTCAAATGTACATACTATATATGATATATATTTGACTTAGAAATATCGTGATACTTTTCCATAAAAAAAGTTAAAAAAACCTCCCCTGTTAGTTAAGCTTTGCGTGATCTAGCTTTGGTTATTGATACAGTGCACAAATATCCAAAAGTCAACAATTAGTAAAGAAACAGCAAACTCCGAGTTCGTTTCTCCAAATCACACGCCCCCCCAATTGCTAGCTTTTCAATGTAAATGAGTAAATGCATTTGCTTCACCACTGATCTAGGATCGAACCCCCACCTTCCAACAATAATGGATCCACCACCATCTTCCTCCAACCACCCCGACTCCTCCGCCACTTCTTCGCCGCACTCCCGCTGCACCGACACCACCTGGGATGACAACCCTCTACCGCCTGTCCCCGGTGCCGCCAAGCTCCGCCTCATGTGCAGCTACGGCGGCCACATCATCCCCCGCCCCCACGACAAGTCCCTGTGCTACGTGGGCGGCGACACCCGCATCGTGGTGGTGGAGCGCCACTCCTCCCTCGCCGAACTCCACTCCCGCCTCTCCCACACCCTCCTCAACGGCCGCCACTTCACCCTCAAGTACCAGCTCCCCACTGAAGATCTCGACTCTCTCATATCACTCTCCTCCGACGAAGACCTCGATAACATGATCGAGGAGTACGACCGGACCACCTCCGCCTCCCCGCTGAAGCCCTCCCGCCTCCGCCTGTTCCTCTTTCCTTCGAAGCCTGAAACTGCAGCTTCCATGGGTTCTTTGCTGGACGATGCCAAGTCAGAGACGTGGTTCGTTGATGCTTTGAACGGTGCTGGTTTGCTCCCCAGAGGGATATCTGAGTCGGCGGCCATTGATACCTTCTTGGAACGCCATCACGGCAATAGTGATTCTAGTGCGGATCTCGAGGCCCTGCAGAATGAGTCTGTGGGTAATATTAACAAACAGGTTGTGGGCAAGGCTAATAATAATTCTCAGGAAGTCTTTCTTGTGGAAACGACTTCTTCCTTTGGGTCGAGCTCTTCTTCGCCGTCAATGGCGAATCTGCCGCCCATTAAGGTGAGAACTGAAGGTTACAATCAGACGGCTGGGCTGGATGAGCAGTTTTCTCATGCGAGCATTGCTTCTGGTTTGGCAAATGCAGCTCCGCCACCTCTTCCTAATATTGGCGCCGCCGCATCAGGTGGAGGAGAAAATGTGAATCGGGTAATATGCGATGATGAGAAGTCGGAGAAGTCCGACCATGGAACGGTGGCGGCGACAAGGGTGAGGAAGCCGCCGTTGCCATTGCAAACGGTGCAGAGGAAGGTAGCTGATATTCATAGTTTGACCTCACCTGACTCTGTAACAAGGTGTCATTATTTCCCCAAATTCTGCCTTCTATTTAATATTTTATATCAGATTTATAAAATATTATTATAAATATTCACTTGGCATATTATGCAAAACTCCATCTTTTCGAGATTATATGACTTTTTAGAGAATTTTTTTGTCCCAAATTATTTTTTATTTTAGATTTTCAATGAAGTATTCATTGCATTATTTTTAATTTTACCCTTAATCACTCCTAAGTAATTAGTTGAAAATCAATTAATATCGAGGATATTTTAGTAATTTTATAAGTTTTTTACTATAATCTATGCACATTTATTAATTTTCTTAATATGTGCAAAACAACCCAAAACAACATTGAAATTGGGATGGGATAGTATAAAATAGGAAGTCCTTTATTTTTATTTTTTTTCTTTTATAAGTCTTGGTCAACAGTTGGTTACAGTTTCACTCACTTTAATTATTTTCAGGAAATCAATTGGTTTGTTAAGGTTTTCAAAACAATTTTTAAAATTTCTTTCACTTATGTAATAACTCGTACAATAAAATGATTTGACTGCTAAGATACAAAATGTTTTCACTAAAACACAAATAAATATCACTTTATTTTTTTAAAATATATTTTTCTAACACCTTTTAAATATGATTTTACTGTTACGGCTCATTTCAACTTATAAATAAATATTACTTTTATTCTCTAATTATTTTTTCAAAACATATTTCCCCAAATTAAAATGAAAATAACTGCCACAACTTATCCAAACATTGTCTTTGTTGTTCTTTTTTTCTATAAAGGCCTTTATATAAACTTGTAAATTGTTATAGAATGTTACATATATTTTTTATTGGAATTTGTGCCTATTGTGGGACTTTCTCTTGAGATCCACTAATTTTTCCATTGAGAGAATATAATATATATATAAAGTTTTGTGGTGTAGCTGAATTACGTTTCTTCTTTGGTTACACTTACAGCGAGAGTAGCATTACCTCGGTTGGATCCCAATCAAAGCAGCAAACAATTCACCAAGAACCAGTGCACAGAGTTCCTACTCCAACATTAATAACAACAACAGATGATCAAAAGACGATCAATACTACTACTATTACTACTACTACTGCTACTGCTACTGCTGCTGCTGCTGATTATATTCAAGAACCAATAACAACAACTCATGATCAAATTCTCATGCAACAGCTTCCATACCAAAATCAACAAATAAATATTCATCAAACTGCTCAACCCACGCACTACATCCACCACCCTCAACCGATGCCCGTTTCTTCCTACTATCCAATGTATCAGCTACAACAGCACCCCACCCAAACACACCAATCGATCCATCACCACCAACAAATTCACGATCCACAGTATCAAATGTACATATTGCCTCATAATAATCCTCAGCCCGTCGTTTATCAGACCAAGCCCGAAATGGCACCGAGTAAAATGCACCCATCCATTCAATATCAGCATCAACATCAGCAGTATATTTCTCAAATGCCTTCTTTGGCCCCATCACAGTCTAATAATAATAATAGTAATAATATTGCTGCTTCCGCTGGTGCTATTAATTACGGATATGACTACTCTCATCAAATGCAGGATCAAGTTTACTATGCTCAGCCTCCACCGTCACAGTACCAAACTATGACCTCTACTTCTGCAGTAATGCTTTCTCACGAGCCTTCTACTCACCTTCCTCCTCCAGATAACACTGGACAACATTGATCTTTACTGTGAATCGAAAAACGAAATAAAGGGTGGTTGTTGTTGCTGTTAATTATGATTAATCACGTTCATGCTTTTATATTTTGTTCTTGTAATTTTGATTTTCGGAATTATAATTTTTAAGAAGTGTTGTTGTATGTTATTTATCTATGTTAATGGTGTTTTGAAATTTAAATAAATAAAGGGAGTGTTATGTACTCTTCAAAGAACTATCAGAGTTTTGGTAGTTTCCAAAATTCAGTTTTTCCTTCTTCTCATGCATGCTCGCTCTAATATTGATGATGAATTGAGGAAATTACTTTAACTAGTTCCATTTTATTTCTCTATTCCAATAGGTTCATTAATTGATCACATTTTCTAATTTTATCATGTAATTAGTTACTTTAGTTAACCACTTCGATTGGTATCTAAAAACAAGATTTGTTGTCCCGTAAGGGATGGCCATCGGTTGGAGCAAGTGAGTTTGTATCAATTGACCCAAGTTCTAATCTCCTTGTCAACGGTCGTTAGATCGAGATTATCACACATGATTATCCTAAAGTGGTTTACGTTTCTCGTATGTTTGCAAGCTATTATACGAAAATGTAGGTTTATCCAGTACATCGATATGGTTGGTTGCGATTTCCTTCGTTACCAAAAAATAAAATTGATTTGTTGGTTAATCTTGTTCAATACCCAAGGAAATAATCATGTTAGAGAAATAAATAATGTCATCATATTCAAAAGAAAGTTTTTGTTTATTTTTACGATGATATATACATGCACACAACTTAAAAAATTTCCGAATAAATCAAATGAGATTTTTAAGATTGCTTATATGTGAAAAATAAGATAAAGAATATTTATTCTTTTCTTTTTCTTGCTATACGTTGTTTAATAAACATTTTATATTTGATTTATCGTTAACAAATATATATTTGAATAAAACTGAGATTTGTTTTTCTAACATAGAAAAAGAGAAGGATTAAAATATGGGATTAAATTCTAAACGGATGGGCTATTAATGGGACATAATCCGATCCCACTCAACATGCTACACGTGTACAAATAAATTAATGGAATTGGGTTTTTTTTTTTTGGATTTATTTCTCTCCTTCTTATTAGAGAAATTACGGTTAAATATTTTTATAATTATTTCTCTTGATTTTTTTTTTCCTATTTTTTTATTTCTTATTTACTTTTAAGTTTTATCCTCCAATCTAATTTTCCCCTTATAAATCCTGTTACATACTCTTCGACTTCTTCGAACCTACATCCGATGATAAATATTAGGTAGGTCTTCTGCTGCCACATGGACTTTTTTGGCATTTTAAAATATATTCCCCCACTTGGGTTAATCTTTAGGGGTTTTAGAAAAATAAAAAAATGACACGTGGCAGCAGAAGGCACCCGATATTTTTCACCGGATGTAGGTTCGAAGGAGCCCATGCTCTTCCCAATTATGTATCAATATAGCAAATTATTATTATTATTATTATTATTATTATTATTATTATTATTATTATTATTATTATTATTATTATTATTATTATTATTATTATTATTATTATTATTATTATTATTATTATTATTATTATTATTATTATTATTATTATTATTATTATTATTATTATTATTATTATTATTATTATTATTATTATTATTATTATTATTATTATTATTCGATAGAGATAGGTCATTAGCGATAAGCCCCTCATCTCGCTAATAAATGGTGATATGTCCAGCCCTTAAATCTTTCTTTGTGATAAACCCTTAGAAATTTTATTCCAATACTACCCTTATATCAATTAGCACATTTTGTTCCAATTATTCATTTTTTTGTTTTTTTTCCTAATTCCTAAAAATTTGCAACCAAATAAAAAAAATTAATTTTTATTTATTATTTCGGATATAAGTATTTTTTATTTTATTTTTTATTTTTTTTAAATATTTTTTAATAAAAATATTTTTTTTTAAAACAAAAAATTGAATTTTTTTTCTCAACAGATTTATTAGGCCGAATGTGACTATATGTGACTATTTCAATTGTAGTCATATTCTTTTTTTATATTGCAGTTTTTTACATTTTTAACTTAAAAAATCCGATTATATTGTGTGGTACAATCCAATCAACATCCACAAAAAAAATCACAATTCAATCTTGTTATTTTAAGTCAACTTGAAACGATAAGATAAAACATATTCGAATATGACTACTGCCATATTCAACAATAGTCATATTCGAATATGACTATAGTCATGTTATAGTCATGTTATAGTCATGTTACTGCTGTTCTATCTGAAAAAAAAAAAGACGACAACGAAGATTGTCTATTATTTACGAAAACAATCCAATCAATATCCACACAAAAAATCATAATTTGAATCTTGTTATTACAAGTCAACATGAAACGATAAAATGGAACATATTCGAATATGACTACAGTCATTTCAACGATAGTCATATTCGAATATAACTATAGTCATATTACTACCGTTGTTCAAATCTAAAATTGTAATACAGAGATCTCAAAAAGAAAAAAAAATTCAAAAAATACAGAAATAAAACACATGCACAAAACAATATTTCACACACACATATATAGAACACACACACACACACACACTCACACACACACATACATATATTTCTCACACACATATACAAAACACACACACGCATATACTGAACACACACACATATACAGAACATACACACACACACACACACACACACACACACACACACACACACATATATACAAAACACACACACACACACACACACACACACACACACACACACATATATACAGAACACACACACACACACACCCATACAATATTTCACACACACATATACAGAACACACACACACACACACATACAATATTTCACACACACATATACAGAACACACACACGCATATACAAAACACACACACACACACATACATTTCACACATATACACACAGACCCACATACAAAGTCGCAAGAGATCCAAAAATCTAAAAATCACAAGAGACAGATCTCGCGAGAAAAGAATCATAACACGGACAGAGGGAGCAAATTTTTCGCACACACATCCAAAACGCACACACACACAGACCTACATATCCATACAACATGAGTTTTTTGGAAGGTTCGACGGCGGAACCCTAGGCGGCGGCTGTGATCGGCGGTTAGGTAAGTGGATAATGGCGGTGGTGTGAAACAGAGAAGGAGGGCGGCGACGCCGGTGTAAATCTCGATGGAGATCGGCGACACCGGTGTAAATCTCGATGAATAGCGGCGGTAACACAGATCTGCAAAGAA